GCTGAACGGAATCATAATTAAACTAAACAAGGACAGGAAAATGACCAAATAAGGAAACACAGAAAGACACATGAGGAGCAAAACACACACAAAATACGGACCAGACTCTGACATAACTCCCCCGTCCCGCGCCGTACAACATCCAATGGGGGGGGTTGCTCTGGAGTGCGGGCGGCGCCCGTTCCGGGATCCATGGCGGATCTGGCAGTTTGGGGCACCATGGTGAATCTGGCAGCTCTGGGCGCCATGGCGGATCTGGCAGTTCGGGGCGCCATGGTGGAGCAGGAGACTCGGGAGGCCATGGCGGAGCAGGGAGCTCGGGGGAGCCATGGCAGAGCAGGTAGTTCAGGAGGCCATGGCAAAGCAGCCTCCGAGGCCGCGGCCCCAGCCCCCGCCTCGGCCTCTACGGCTGGAGCCCTACTACCCACCCCCCAAAAATTACTTGGGGACGCTTACGGGTTCCAAGGCCCTCCGTGGGCCATGACAGGGGACTGGAGCCCTCCCTGGGCTTAACTGGGGATCCGAAGCCCTCCCTGGGCTTAACTGAGGATCCGGAGCCCTCCCTGGGCTTAACTGGGGATCCGGAGCCCTCCCTGGGCTTAACTGGGGATCTGGAGCCCTCCCTGGGCTTAACTGGGGATCTGGAGCCCTCCCTGGGCTTAACTGGGGAACAGGAGCCCTCCCCTGGGCTCGACGGGGAATCAGGAGCCCTCCGTGAGCTATACTCGGGAACAGTAGCCCTCCGTGGGCTATACTTGGGAGCAGGAGCCCTCACTGGGCTATACTCGGGAGCAGGAGCCCTCACTGGAGCGAGCTCTGGGGCTGGAGCCGACACTGGAGCGAGCTCTGGGGCTGAAGCCGACACTGGAGCGAGCTCCGGGGCTGGAGCTGACACTGGAGCGAGCTTTTACATTAAAAAATGTAAAAGCACATAACAAAATTAGTAAAAATGTTAACTAATATCAAAATGAAAAGTGAAAATATAAACAAAAACTAATTTAAAATATTAATGAATACTATAATAATATTTAAATATTTAAAATACATTTAAATAGAAAACTGTTATTTTAAATGGTAATAGTATTTCACAACATTACTGTTTTTAAAGTATTTTTGATCAAATAAATGCATCCTTGGTGAGCATGAGACAAAATACATTAAAAAAAAAATCATAAAAACATGAAAATAAAATATTTTGAACAGTTATGTGACAAAATTATTGGATAAAATAATCATTATTTACGTAAATCTATTTTTGGTGTCGAATGTCATAAATAATTTATTTTACTTTGTCCTACATTTTGATTTCTATTTCTTTGACTTGTTGCAATGTATTCTGGGATCCTTCTTCTCAATGCTGCCTTACTGTATTTCTTATTCTGGTGACTTTTTTAAGCAGCCATTTGCATCAAGAACGCACTTGTGTTTCCTGTAGCTCACTGGGTTTTGGATCTAAGCTTCATATTGAGGAATTTTTTCACTCATACATACTTTCCGGAGCAATCTGAGACTATCATACATGCCCTTGCACTTATTTTGAAACCCGACCCTGAAATGTGCACTTATGCGCACACAGGTGTGTGTGTGTGTGTGTGTGTGTGTGTGAAATGCATTAGTATTCTTCTGGCTGTCTCGGAGCAGATATATGGGGAGCAGAGAGACGCTCAGGGTCACCGGCATCGGGATGAAAATTTCTCTCTCCGACTGCGTTATCAGTCTTTTTTTCCTTTACTTCCTTTCTTGCGTGCTCTGTCAGCACCCTCTCTACCTCATTCTTTCTATCTATCTCTCTCAGTCCCACTCTCTCACTGTCTGCTCCCTCCTCTCACCCAAATAATTGGTCCTAAGTATATTCTGAATATACCAAACAAAATCAGCACTAGTGTTGTGTAACATATCATGTTTATTTCATTCAAGTGCTGTTTTTGGGACAAAGCCGTCTTTAACTACATGTTGTTTTGTGGAGAATCAGACAGTAATTGTAATCAGTGAACTGATTAGTAACCCTGGAGTTTGAGTCTTTTTGAGAAAATTTTTTTAACATCTCAAATCATTTGATTCAATTCTCAGTTCATTTTGACTTGTTAAAGGGGTCATATGATGCGATTTCAATTTTTCCTTTCTCTTTGGAGTGTTACAAGCTCTTGGTGCATAAAGAAGATCTGTAAAGTTGCAAACACTAAAGTCTCAAAACCAAAGAGATATTCTTTATAAAAGTTAAGAGTTAACCACGCCTACCTCTTTTTAGCAACATCATATGACCCCTTTAAACTGATTTACACTAAAATAAAGAAAGTATTTTGTTATGGTAGTCTGTCCAAAACAAAAGTTTCGGAAAAATGCAGATGCTCAAGAACCATTGTTGAAGTTGAATGCAGTGTTTGTTGTATGTATGTGTTGCTGAAATAAACTATAAATATTAAAACCTTTAACTTAAAAAATTTAAATAAAGAATGATGGTTACGACAAATTATGATTACAACTAAAACAGAAAAAAAATGTATAGAAATATTAGAAAAAAACTAACTACAATTAAAATGAAAACGGAAAATACAAAAACAGTAGCTAAATCAAAATGTTATTAAATACTAATACATAATAAATAAGTTTAAAATCACTAAAAATAATGAAATAAAAAAATACTTTAAATCTAAATAATAAAAATGACACACAATAAAATAACTAAAACTTTAAAATTAAAATGAAAACTGAAAATATGAAGACAAAAGCTAATTCCAAAAATTAAGAAATGCTATAATATGTAAATTAGAAATAAGTTTAAAATGACTAAAACTGAAATAAATATAAATTACATTTATTTTAAAAGTGCATTATAAAAAATGAATAATTAAAATAACAATAAAATGGCAAAAACAGTACATCAACTAAAACTTTCAAATTTAAAATGAAATCTGAAAATATAACGACAAAAACGATATATTAATAAATACTGTAACAATATATAATGAATAATAAAAAACACTGGTTGAAGTTTGTGAAAATTATTCAGTTTAAATTATTTATTTATTTATTTATTTAAACAGCTTATGAATAAGAATATACATTGATACGTTGACACTGATTGATTTTGAATAGTGTGTAAATATTTGCTAATGCAAGTTTTATAGAAACCTAATGAGCCATATAGAGCATTCCAAAGAGTCACTTAAAATAGGTTAGGATATTAGGATATTAAAACAGTTAGGATATTACCTTTAGAAGTCAGTCTGTACGCCCGCCCGCCCGTACTGCTGACACACACACACACACACACACACACACACACACCTTTTGGCCTGGCCCACACCTGATTACCTTAGATGAGAGGAGCACTCCAGCTGCATTCTAAACACTCACTCACACACACACACACACACACACACACACACACACACACACATGCTGCGGCTCTGTTTCTCTGCCTCCTGAATTCAGATGGACTGATACATCTGACATTATTTGAGATTTTTAACATTTATATCAATAATTAGACCTGTTTCCTCCCTCTTGTGTCAGTCCCAAAATCAGTTTTTGTGAGTTTTGTAAATATTGTTAATTATAATCTAGAAAAGTGTAATTTTGTGTTTAGAAATGCTTTCTATTTCTGTGACATTGTGGTTGGAACAACAGTATACTAACTATGACAATGATATCAGGTAGCCTACTGATTGTGTGATTTATTTAATGTTAAAATGGTTTATTGTGAGTTAAATTAAGTTTGTTAGACGTCCAACTAAAATGTTTCAGAAAAAAAACATTCCATGAAGGATGTGTAAATAAAGTTTTTGTTAATGTTGCTGGAAGAACATTTGTTCATGACTTTGAGAGAGCCTTGCCTCAACATTAGCCAAAGTTCTGATAACATTCTCTTTTTATATTTGATAGTTTTTATATTATGTTTGGATGGGTAATCAATAGTATTTTATTGTGCCATCTTTTTTTTATGCTTTGTGGGGATTTATCATTTGCAATGTCGGTTTGAGCATTTGATTTATGATTTGAGCATTGAATTACAGATTTATTTATTACATGTTTATACTAGGTTGATAATGAAAATTATCAAATACAAATGATTTTTAATTAGGTTTTTGATACAGTTCATGCTTCCCTGAATGAGGAAAAGAAATTGCATTTAAGTATTTGATTTCTCATTTGAGAAGCCGTTTTGAGAGTTTGATTTTTTTTATTTGATCATTTGAGCATTTGATTTCTCATTTGAGCAGCTGTTTTGAGAGTTAGATTTTTTTATTTGATCTTTTTAAGCATTTTATTTTAATTTTGTAAGGAAAAAACTTCCATAGAGAAGTTCATTCCATCATTAAATATGTTAAGTACACAGTCTTGAAACTTTGTCTTTTTTTCTCTTATTTTATTTAATTTATATTAATATTATTAATGTGAAGTAATAATTAATATAATATTTCTGACTTTGGATTGAGTAGCAATTATAAATAAACAAAACGACAAACATAGTATTTGTTTTTTGAGTGTTCAATCTTCTACCGTGTTTTTTTGCATTTGTCCTTGCAGACTTTGGCTAATCAGGTCCATCTAACGTAGGAACTTTGACTCCATGATGCATTTTATTTACTTAAATGTGATTGTTTATCATTAATCTCAGTGCCAAGACAGAGTAGTTGTGGATTTCCAAGTTCCCAAGTCACATATTCTATTGCAACTTGATGTTCTATTGCACTTTACCAAGTAAGAAGTGTGAAATTCTGAGCTAAATGGAACGCAACGTATTTGGAGCAGTAAGATTTCCGACATGACAGAAATCCAAATGGAAACACCAACAAAGTGTGTTATTGCAAAGAAACTCAGCTTAACATGGAGGATTTGTTGCATCATGCCTGTTTATGCTATTATACAGTGTTTGCTTTGAGTTCAAATCATAAGGGGTTTGTCTTTCTGCTGTTTTATATTCAGCGTTTGCATGCATATGTAAGAAGAACATGTCTGCCCTGTTATTTATTCACCGTGTGTGTGTGTGTTTTCAGTGGGGATCATAAGGCGTTCCTCTCCGTGTTGGCGGCGGTGTCTCTGGTTCTGATCTTCCTCCTGGTTCAGCGTCACTGCTCGCTGGTGTCTAAGATCGCTCTGGCTCTCGGCCTGCTCGGAGTTTACAGCTATCGCGCCGCCGTCGGAAACATCCTGTTCCCATGGCAACACAGCAGCCGTGCCGTCTCCAAGTAAGTTTGATGATATTTAAATATCTTATTGACATTCCTTGAATGTCAGATGGTGAATAAATTAGCTCCCCTCATTACCATTGTTGTTGAATTGTCTGAAGTTTCTTCGCTAACTTTATGTTCGTTAGCTCCTCTCGTCGGAAACCTGGCTCTCGCTAAATGCGGGGATGAAGTGTTTTTCGAGGGTTTTAAATACGAGAGCTTGACCTAAGAGGCTTCGATTCTGACTGCCGTGAGTGGAGGTTTGTTTATTGTAGACTCAGAAATGATTAAAGGGAATAGTTCACCCAAAAAGGGTTTAAACAATTGACGGTAGCCATTGACTTCCATTGTATGGAAAAAAATACTATGGAAGTAAATGGCTACCGTCAGCTGTTTGGTTACCAACATTCTTCAAAATATCTCCTTTGTGTCAACAGAAGAAAGAAGCTCAGGTTTGGAACAATCTGAGAGTGGGTAAACGATGACAAAATTTTCATTTTTGGGTGAACTATCGATTTAACAGGAATTACAGGAAATAGACCTCAAATTCTTCTGTCTTTGGCTTGAATGAGACCATTGATGCTTTGGTCCAGAAAGGACTGAATTCACATTCAGAGCCCAAATATGGTTAGCAAATCAGCACACAGCAGACTGACCCTTTTACCATGTCTTGTGTCTTGTGTTCACAAACACCTAGATGGAGGATGTTCAGATTTTGGGATTGTTGCTGGTTTTGAGGCTCATTGAGCTCCTCAGTGACAGAGCTATTGCTCTTTAAGCTTTATTTAAAGTATAACAGTAGTAGTTTCTCTGTAATATGTTTTATATACCATAATCTAGGTGTGTGTGAATGTGATTATATAGTTACGCAGTCCTAAGCACCCATGGCCTGATGTTACAGACTATAAATATATTTTTTTAAAACCCTGAAACTGTTTTTAGTTTGCATTTATGTACACTAGCATTCATGAGTTTAGGGTCAGTAAGATATGTTTTTTAATGTTTTAAAAGAAGTCTCTTACGCACACCAAGGCTGCATTTATTTAATCAATAATGCAGTATAAAATTGGAATATTGTGAAATATTATTACAATTCAAAATAACTGTTTACAATCAATTAAAAATGAATTTAGACATAACGTCAGATCAACAAAGCGCAAAAAGAACCAATGAAGATCTCATAAATGTGAACCAAACTACCATTTAAAATTATCTTATGCTCACTAGTACTGGATTTATTCAATCAAAAACAAAGTACAAACAGTAATAATGTGAAATATTATTACAAATTAAAAGAACTGAATATATTGTAAAATGTCATTTATTTCTGTGATGCAAGCTGAATTTTCAGCATCATTACTCCAGTCTTCAGTGTCACATGATCCTTCAGAAATCATTCTGATATGCTGATTTGCTGCTCAAGAAACATTTCTGATTATTATCAATGTTGTGCTGCTTCAAATTTTGCTGGAAATAATTAGAAAAAAAATAATAGCATTTATTATATTTTAGATGTCTTTAATGTCACATTTGTTCAATTTAATTCATTGGAATATTGTGAAATATTATTACAATTTAAAATAACTGTTTACAATCAATTAAAAATGAATTTAGACATAACGTCAAATCAACAAAGCGCAAAAAGAACCAATGAAGATCTCATAAATGTGAACCAAACTACCATTTAAAATTATCTTATGCTCACTAGTACTGGATTTATTCAATCAAAAACAAAGTACAAACAGTAATAATGTGAAATATTATTACAAATTAAAAGAACTGAATATATTGTAAAATGTCATTTATTTCTGTGATGCAAGCTGAATTTTCAGCATCATTACTCCAGTCTTCAGTGTCACATGATCCTTCAGAAATCATTCTGATATGCTGACTTGCTGCTCAAGAAACATTTCTGATTATTATCAATGTTGTGCTGCTTCAAATTTTGCTGGAAATAATTAGAAAAAAAATAATAGCATTTATTATATTTTAGATGTCTTTAATGTCACATTTGTTCAATTTAATTCAAATATTATACACACACACACATACATCATGCCAACTCTCGGAGTGATTGTCATGGTAATGTACATGACAATGTTAATGTGTTTGGTCTTGTCAGAATAGATCTGCTACGCTGCTGCTGCGGCAGAGTAAGTACTAAGACTTGCTACTGCCAATCATTTTGAATTTTTACATTTGTTTTATTTTAATATCGTTTTCAAATTTGCTATGAAATGCAGTTTAGTTTTATTCGTTTCATAAAATTTTTTGTTAGTTTTAGTTTAGTTTTTATTTTGTAAACACATTTTTATTTAGTTTTTATATAGTTTAGTTTGAGTTTTAGTTTAAGTTTTAATTAAAGTTTAGCAGAATTAACAGATCACTTCCAGAGCGCAGGCCAAAGAAAGACTTGCTTTAACCTTAAGTGAGCATCTAGCGACACAAAATTAAGGCATGCTGAGATTGATTAGATGGTAAAAGTATACAAATATACGCCAAAATTAAGCAGTAAATCCTTTTCACTAAATAAATCTACACAAGTTGTACTTAATTTAATAATGTCATATCTGAAAGCACTTGACTGAATAATGTGTGCTGAGATATTTAATATGAAAATTAATGTAGCCTAATGTGGTTATATTAGATGTCTTTTTTCTTATTTAACTATTTTCTTATTTGAATATATAATAATCATTATATTGTAACTGTCTTGTCTTGCTCACTTTCCCGCGAACAACCGCGCATAAATCATAACTGGGACAAATGAAATTCAATAATAGGCTAACGGCAATCGCATTTAATAGTCATATTTGAATATGTTCTTTTCATTTATGAAGAATTATATGTACGTGTATGTGATGTCATTTAGCCTATGCACATTTGATCAAAAGCCTGGCAGATTGTTCAGATGTAGGCAAAAGTTTTGTATACAGAAAGGATGTGCGTTCTCATCTTTTTACTGTTAATTATCATGTTGCTCTGCATGTCTGTTTTTCTTCAAAGCAGCAACTTAGAGTGCTTAATATTGGTTTGATTTCTTGTGTTACATGAGAAAATAAATAATTTTTCCTACCTGATGTAGTAGATTTAATGCGGTGGGGTGCGGTTCGGGTCGCGACTCGCGATCTTTATGCCAAAAGGGTCTATTCGAGTACAGAATTAAATTAGTATTGCTGTCGGTTAACGGGTCAGGTGTTCTGTTAAGTACTGCGGGTGTGGGTTTTCCAAACAGGACCTGTGCAGGACTCTGCTTAAAACTGCTTTTGTTCAATTTAATTCAAATATTATACACACACACACATACATCATGCCAACTCTCGGAGTGATTGTCATGGTAATGTACATGACAATGTTAATGTGTTTGGTCTTGTCAGAATAGATCTGCTACGCTGCTGCTGCTGCTGCGTCAAAGTAAGTACTAAGACTTGCTACTGCCAATCATTTTGAATTTTTACATTTGTTTTATTTTAATATCGTTTTCAAATTTGCTATGAAATGCAGTTTAGTTTTATTCGTTTCATAAAATTTTTTGTTAGTTTTAGTTTAGTTTTTATTTTGTAAACACATTTTTATTTAGTTTTTATATAGTTTAGTTTGAGTTTTAGTTTAAGTTTTAATTAAAGTTTAGCAGAATTAACAGATCACTTCCAGAGCGCAGGCCAAAGAAAGACTTGCTTTAACCTTAAGTGAGCATCTAGCGACACAAAATTAAGGCATGCTGAGATTGATTAGATGGTAAAAGTATACAAATATACGCCAAAATTAAGCAGTAAATCCTTTTCACTAAATAAATCTACACAAGTTGTACTTAATTTAATAATGTCATATCTGAAAGCACTTGACTGAATAATGTGTGCTGAGATATTTAATATGAAAATTAATGTAGCCTAATGTGGTTATATTAGATGTCTTTTTTCTTATTTAACTATTTTCTTATTTGAATATATAATAATCATTATATTGTAACTGTCTTGTCTTGCTCACTTTCCCGCGAACAACCGCGCATAAATCATAACTGGGACAAATGAAATTCAATAATAGGCTAACGGCAATCGCATTTAATAGTCATATTTGAATATGTTCTTTTCATTTATGAAGAATTATATGTACGTGTATGTGATGTCATTTAGCCTATGCACATTTGATCAAAAGCCTGGCAGATTGTTCAGATGTAGGCAAAAGTTTTGTATACAGAAAGGATGTGCGTTCTCATCTTTTTACTGTTAATTATCATGTTGCTCTGCATGTCTGTTTTTCTTCAAAGCAGCAACTTAGAGTGCTTAATATTGGTTTGATTTCTTGTGTTACATGAGAAAATAAATAATTTTTCCTACCTGATGTAGTAGATTTAATGCGGTGGGGTGCGGTTCGGGTCGCGACTCGCGATCTTTATGCCAAAAGGGTCTATTCGAGTACAGAATTAAATTAGTATTGCTGTCGGTTAACGGGTCAGGTGTTCTGTTAAGTACTGCGGGTGTGGGTTTTCCAAACAGGACCTGTGCAGGACTCTGCTTAAAACTGCTTTGCATCTCTCCGTCAGATAACCCCATCCCTAAAACGCCACACAGCTCATATAGTTTTCCAACACGGGATGATAACGTAATGATTACGAAAATGATTATTTATTTTTGATAATTATTACTAACTGTTGTTAGATTCATTTCATTTTAGTTTTTCACTTATTTTGACATTTTTATTTTATTTCAGTTTACGAAATCGTTTTCGTCTTAGTTTTAGTTTTCGATTACGAAAATATCCTTGCTGCCAATACGTCCACAACATGCTGTGAGCATGTAAGAAATACTGCTGCTGCACATATATCATATATGAAATAAACCCCGTATATAACATACATGAATCATCCCGTAGCAGATCTATACAGGTGGAGCTGGGGAAGATGGAGGGTTTCTGAAGTGCGCTGCAACTACTACAGCAAACACTAGCCAAGTATTTGAATGTTGAGCAGCAGCTCATTGGCTGCTGATACAAAAAGAACCAATCAGCTGCACCATATG